TGCAGTTGAGGACAAGTCTAAATCAAGTTTAATGGAAGCAACATTGCATCAAAATGCCAACTCTTTTGTATATGCATTATGATATCATCTAAATATGGAAAGGGGGAGGGATTTGCAGCATGATGCTTTAATTATCTGGACAAAATCAGCAGAAGATACAGGCATTCGTGGAGAGGTTCATGGAAGTTCAAGATGTTAATAGCTATTTCTATTGCTTGCTGTCCTAGATTATAGGCAACATCCCTCAAATATTAATAGCTGAGAAGAAAGTGGAAAGGCCAAGCTTGTAGGTTTCCCAAAAAGTGTCCAGTTGATTACTGATGACACAGAAGCTTGAAAAAGATGGGATTATTGTTTGATTCAACAGGGCTCTTCTTATGACATTCAAAATACTCCCTTCACAATTTTTGCCAAATGTTCCTCTGACTGGGGGAGAGAAGAGAGGCAGGCCTCTCTGAACTTCCAATCCCCTGCTATCAGTTTCTTCTAACTTTATATACAAGGGACTAATCTAACAACTTCTTAATATATACTATGAATAAAGGTTCTTCCAAAGGTTGTCCATACTTCTCACAATCCTCATTTGACACCAACGCACAGACACAGACCAGCAATTATTATCAATGTCAGATAAATTCATCATATTTTGCTTTGGACATCAGCTTCTGCCAAAAGAAAACAAAAGGACTCCTGTGGCATAATTGATGGTCTGTCCCAAAAGAGTTATTCAATGATTTGGCCATTCCCATCCAGACCATTTTATTGCCTCTTTTCAACCCTATGTATTTTTTCATCTTTACATTCTGTGACTATTGAATATCTTCAGTCTTCTTTGGACTGTCTCCAAGAGATACTGTAGGTTTCAAGGTTAGTATTGTTCTATATTTATTATTATATACTATTCACTCTTCTTTTTCTTCTGAGTAGTCATTTCTGGCTAGAATCTTGTTAGCATTCTCATGTGATTCTGCTATCAAAAGTGATTTTGGTCTTTTCAGTTTTAAGATCTGGTGTGAGAGCAACAAGAGGGAATTAACAGTTGGGGAGACCAGAGTTGAATTATCTGCTTCAAGCAATGAAGCCCAATGAATAATCCTAAAATAATCACTATCTAAGATACCTGGGAATTGAAGCTGTTGGTCTGTTGAAAGATAAGAGGAAGAGCTCTATTGAGAGTTCAAAGCAGAAATGGGGGTACAGGGTGTAGTGTATTTAAATAGAGACTTCTAGGGCAATGTTCCTATTGGTTAGCAGAAGCAACGATACGATTGGATAGTAACGTTAGTATCTGATTGGCCACCTATAGCGGCGGGAAGTTTAACTAAATGTTACCGGTTGCGAGCCATGGAGCAGCCACTATAAAAAGGGCTGCTGCGGTTCGACTGCAGTTGAAGTTACTGTTTATTATTAAAGAGCTGAAGTCAACTCCGGTCTGCGAGTCTCTTTACTGGTGACAGAACACTGGCGACGAGGATGGGATTAAAGAGACAAAGACCGTAAGCACGTGGCAACGACAGCCAAAGGACCAATGAGATGGCCGGCAACAATTCGCCACCCGCACCATTCAACCCAGCCGAAGAAGACTGGGAGTCGTACATTGACAGATTCCTGATGTTTTTAGAAAGCAACGAGCTGCAAGGAATCACTGACCAAAGGAAGAGAGCCGTATTCCTAACACATTGCGGTCCGACTGTTTTTAAAATGGCCAAGGCATTAGCAAGACCAAATGATGTTAAACAGATGGCATGGCCAAGAATAGATAAAGACATTGAAGCCTGAGTTAAAACATGTAACAAATGCAAATCTTCCAGGCCCACCCCCCCTCAGCACCAGTCCTCAAATGGGAGACACCCAGAGGCCCCTGGTCAAGAATCCATATGGATTTCGCCGGCCCCACAAAAGGTTATACTTACCTAATCATCGTGGATGCCTATTCCAACTGGTTGGAAGTCATCATCATGAGTTCAACAACAACAGAAGCCGTCGCCAAACAACTAAAAACAGTTTTTGCCATCCACGGTCTACCAGATGTAGTAGTATTGGACAATGGGCCACAGTTTACAGCCTTGGCTTTTGAACAGTTTCTCGTGGAACATGGAATATGACATGCTTTGACAGCGCCAGCTCATCTGGCGGCGAATGGTAGAGTGGAACGCATGGTTCGTTTTACGAAAGAAGCACTGGAAAAGCTTGACGGAAGTGATATGCAAGAAAAACTCAACACCATGCTCACCATCCAACATATAACACCATGCACAACTACGAACAAGAGCCCAGCTGAACTTTTGATGGGAAGAAAATTGCGATCTTACTTGGATAGACTGCACCCTACCTACAACCCAGAAAAGCCACCAGACTCGTTCAGTAAGAACCACTCCTTCTTACCAGGTGATTTAGTCTACACAAAAAATCTTACTGGAGAACCATTGTGGTTACCGGCAATGATTACACAAATCACTGGCCCTCGTTCCTATCGCTTAGAAACCACCGATGGCAGATCGTGGAAACGACACATTGATCAGCTACGGTCCCGACACATCGAACGAGACACCGATGTTCCCAGAAACGCAGAACAAATATTTTTCCAAACAACCCCAGACATTAATAAAAAATCCAGAGGGGGGGGGAAACAAATTAATAATAAAGAAAATGAAAATCATCCATTTACAAAACACCAACCGGAAACAGAGAACCCAGAAAGAAATAAAAATCACTTACCAGACTTCGAGAAACAAGAGGAGCTGAAGGAACCTCAGGGGAGAAGCAGCCAGGCCGACTCGACCTGCCCACACACACAGCGAGGAGACCACACTGCCCATCCAACAAACCCAGACCACAGAGAAAGACCAATCAACCCAAGGCATGACCAAAGTGGCATGGTCGAGGCACCCTTCCAGGAGGTTCCAGAGGGAAGAGTGGCCTGTCCGAACCAGCTGGCCTGTCCGAACCGGCAGAGACCAACACAGGCACTGAACTGCGCAGGTCAACAAGGACTCACAAGAGCCCCGCCTACCTGCGTGACTACGTTATGTTGGAACGAACCAAGAGGGGAGGGCTGTAGTGTATTTAAATAGAGACTTCTAAGGCGATGTTCCTATTGGATAGCAGAAGCAACAATACAATTGGATAGTAACGTTAGTATCTGATTGGCCGCCTATAGCAGCGGGAAGTTTAACTAAATGTCATTGGTTGCAAGCCGTGGAGCAGCCACTATAAAAAGGGCTGCTGCGGTTCGACTGCAGTTGAAGTTACTGCTTATTATTAAAGAGCTGAAGTCAACTCCGGTTTACTGGCGACAGAACACAGAAAATATCTCAAAATTAACCCTCCCTAGTTCCCTGGAATATAAAGGCAGTAGAAGGGTGAAACACTTTCAGACTGAAATAAATACTGTAACCTTAGAATATAGGTAGTATTAATATTCTTAGTTTTGGTTTCCTGCTCTTTCCTGCATTGAATCTTGCAAAATTCAATGTCAACAAAATTAAGTGTGTATCTAACTTCATCCTCCCAAATGAATAAAAAGGATCTTCTAGAACAATGTTCTTAAATACATTTCCCAAAGAACTTGAAGGTATTTCCTATGTGAAGTCAAAGAGATGTACAATCAAGACATCTTTGTGAAAGTGAATTTTTAGCTATTCACAAAACCAAGACTGAATGTGAAAAGGTGAACATTGTACCAATTGCACTTTATCAAATGGTCTGATGCACCATCTGATGAAATATTCCATTATATGCAGACTCACATGTGCCATTCTGTTCTATAATCAATATATCACATGTAAAATGAATAAACAGTTTTATTAAAACATACCCTATTTCAAAACTGTATTTGTTCCTCCCCCCCCACCTTTTTTTTAAAGAAGCCGTAATAGGTGTTGCTCATAAAAATATTATTGCTTGGTGTTCCTTGTTCTAGAAAACTATATAAACGGAAAGGTGGGGAAGAAGATTCAAGTTACTGAAAAGAGAAACTAATTTATTCCAGATAAGAAACACATGTATTACATGTACTCCAGGCGAAAGTATTCCAAGCAAAATGAAAAGGCACTCAAATTTGACACATTAGGTAAAATCTCACACAGTGCATTCATTTATTTTATTTCTCTTGGTTGGGTTTATGGGATAACAAATTATTTCTCCTGGCACCCATCCTGAATACTATGAATTTAATCCTGCCCTATCACCAACATATGAGGGTACAGCTAATAAGAAAAGAGAAGGTAAGGTGAACTTTCCTCTCACAAATCAACACCTGGCTGGGGAGCATCGAAGGCAAATGGCTGACAAGATTTAAAATGGCCAAAGATATTTGCACAGTGGACAATCAATACATCACCAATGGATTTTCAGATGCCTTTAAAAGGGATTTAGATAAATTAATGAAAGGAAAGATCTTTATACTCATCACACTATGAAAGTCAATTGTTGAAAATTATTAATGGAAGAGAATTATTGCTTTCAGGTATTATTATATTATAATATATTATATTATTATATTATCTGGGGGATCCCCAAAGACATTTCAGTGGCCAATTTTGTCTAATTGATAAGACCTTTGGTCTGACTATCAGATATCCTATCAGATATCAGATAACCTAATGTTCTCCTGCGTAAAACTGTGAAAATTGGAGATTGCCGTGTGAGGGGTTCCATTCCTTATTTCAGTGAGTCCAATATTCCTGCTGAGTACAGCAGTCATATAAAGGACCTGGTGCCAATGTCATTGTTTCTTCTTTCATAAAGGAATCACTTCAGCATTCTTTTTAAAAATCTGCTATTGCAACCATTCCCTCACTCCTTCCACTTTTCTGGGAGAAATCCAACCATTTACTTCTGGTTAGCCTATGTTGTAAATACTAGACTGTGTAAACACTCTACACCAGGGGTGTCAAACTCAAGGGACCAGGGGCCAGTGCTTAGATCTGGCCTGTGGGGCTGCCCTGGAAAGAGCAAAGGACTGGCCTGTGGTGCCTTTGCCACCAAAAATGGAGCTCAGGAGGGCCGTGAGTGATCCTCCTGAGATCTGTTTTCATTGGCAGAGGGTTTCAGGAGTCCGCTGCAGCCGAAAATGGAGCTTGGGAGCCCGTTTTCACTGGCAGAGTACTCAAGCCACTACAGGAGCCTCTGCCATGAGTGATGTCAAGGTGGCCACACCCACCAGGGCCATGCCCACTCTGGCCCCCCAAAACCTAACACAACTCTGATGCGGCCCTCAATGAAATCAGGTTTGACACCCTTGCTCTATGCTATATTGCCATAAACAGACAAACTAATATTAGATTATAACTCAGAATGTTAAGCCATCAAAACCAAAGCCCACAACATTCATTGGAAATTCTGGGAGTTAAAGTTCAACATACCACAATAGAAAAGGTTGAACTAGATATATACCTACAGATATATTTTTCTGACAGTAAAGTCTGTCTCATAAGGCAGAATGGCACAACTGTATAAACTGAGCAATATAAATATATAAAAACTATATAAACTTATAAGCATTGGCCAAAACAAAGGAAACAAAAACCTTAGAAAAGCAAAAATGATTTATATTATTTATTTAAATTTCATATGATTATTTCTGAATATTCCTTGCAAACATCAAGTTTTTTTGGCTTATACAATACTGCTCAACTTTGCCAAAAATTTTAAAAAAGTTGGAAAGTGTTCTGCAGAGCACTCATCTGAAAGTGGATTGTCTGAATAAAGGGCAGGCCTTTTAAACTGTATTATTTCTGTCAAACTTGGAGGAAGAAACTAATATACCGTTTTTTCTTTAAAAAAACCCGATATTTGATTTAAAAAAAACAGAGGTGAAGATTCATGGCTCTGAAAAGCATTACTTATATATTTAATTGACATCCAATATCCACAAATCCACCTGTGACATGTTCACATGTGGACAAACTGGACTAATAGTATAATGAAACCTATGTACCAATGTCAATTTTTTTTATTTCTTCTACTTTATTTCTGTTTGCTCATCATTTTGTTGGCAATAATGTACATTAAATGTCCCTTTAATTGTCCTGTTGAACCAGATCTTGTGAAAGCTCTAATATGCTGATAAGGCTGCTGATCAAAGCATTCAATTGTATTTTCAATAAAGGATTGGTCTGGTGGTCTACTGAGAATGAACAATGAGAACATTATCACACAGACTTCCCAACCTAATTCATTTCCATACATGTTGAATTGCATCTCAATTCCTGTCCAGCATGGTCTGCCCAATGTATCTAGAAGACTCATGAGCTTGAGGAAAGCTGCCATAATAGATAACCACAGTCATCCTTGAGCTAGTTGCTTGATTAATACAAATTTGTAATCATTCTCTTAAACAAGTACCACTTCTCCATAAATATAAAAGGCACATGCAGCTTTCTGAAATAATCATCTTCCTCATAAAAATGTAGCTGATTGCAAAGCTTTAAAAACTGTAGGTAGAATGTCAGAGATAATTTCAGTGTTTTGTTATAAAAATAATATAACGGAGGAGTCAAGAGGTGTAGCAACTCACACATGGCCTCTATTATGCAATGAAGAGAAATGAGTGTCTTTGTTTTTTTTTCATGAGGAAGATATCAAAAAAGAGGATACATCCCTAACTATATTTTCTAATTTTAGCTCCACAGAAGCAAAAAGAAAATAATCAAAGTTACATTTACACAAGAGAAGACACCAGAATTCTAGAATATATTGGCTAGATGTTCACAGATATGGTAGTGTGTGTTTCTAATTTCTCCAGCTTGGCTCCTATTATTAGCAAGACAATCTTACAAACAAGAATATGTTAAGAAAATGGCTTAGTATAAAATCAGAACTGGGACTTCCAGTCTATCCTCCTTCAGCAAGAATTAAGGTGGTTTATACATTCAAATTTTTGAGCCATGTGAACAAACCAATATAGCCTGATGTAGATGTTAAGGGCTAATGTTGATCTCACATATCACGCTAAATCAGAAACAAGTATGTTTGTTTCTGATTTAGCATGATATGTGAGATCAACAATAGTCCTTGGCATCTACACCAGGCCATATTGGTTTGTTCACATGGCTCAAAAATTTGAATTTCATCTGCAAATTAGGCTGATTCTGAAGCCATTTGAATGTGACTAATTATGATAATTGGTTTGGGAATAAATGCCAGGAATCACATATAGACATAATGCCAAGCCCTTTTCTTACAGGTTAGTTCTGAAATATTGAAGGGGCAGGTGAAGGTAGTCAGAAGTGATAACCAGCATAGTTGTTACAAATAATAACCAGATTTTCTATGATGTTGTTTTAAAGTTTTGTATGAACCTAATGTTCATTAAAACAAAACAGTGTGGGTGTAACAGTCGAATTAATAAGCTCAAAGAAAGTATAGCTGAAATGTATATTCTACTCTTCTCAATTCAAATGCCCTCATGTATTAACCAATGGGCCAAAACATTTATGTCCAAAATGTGTCTCTTATCTTCAGTAATTCAGGATGTTTTCAGATGGACAGCTCCTAGTACTACCAATCCAAAAGTTGCATGAGACAATTGCCGTTTTTCCTTCCATCTCTCTCTCTCTCTCTCTCTCTCTGTGAGTGAGTGAAAGGGAAAGATATGAAAATGCAAGGAATTATTAGAAAAGGAATAGACATCTGAATTTCATGAAGAAGCAGTTCCATAAAACCACTGACTAGCAAGGAAAGAATGCCAACATCATTTGCAAGTTGATTAGAATAGAACTTAAATAGCATTACTTCTCATTTGGGACAAAAAAAAATCTAAACTTCTTCCCCCAAGATAGATATTAATGCATTTTTATCCCAACATCCAAAATATAGTACTTTGTTGGGAAAATTCAGCAACTCTACCTTCTTACCCTACAATTGTGTTGTTGCTTCAGACATGAGAGAAGATCAACAGTATTAACGTTACCAATGGTATTAATATATACCCCTACATTTAAAAAGTGATTTCCTGATGATAATTTTTGAATATGCTTGCTGTCCAAGTACACATCATTTAGACTTCTTCTCTGGAAATATATTTAGTTTTCTAATAGGATGCGAATTCTTTTGAATTCCCACCACATAGATACACACATACATGTGAACAGAAGCATTTATTCAGATGCTTTCTGGTCTGAAAGTGAAGAAAGTTGTACAAAATGTGACATTTTGGATTTTTATCCCAGAACTTTGGAATTCTGTGATTCAAAATATCCATGTAGCAATACATCAATGGGGATTCTTAGTCATCCAGGTTATGGTTGTCCCAAAAGAGCTGAAGAAGCTTCTTGGATGAGAAGTGAAATGTCTTCAAAGAAAAACCAGAAAGTCCACTTGCCTCTTTTTAAAAAAAGCACCTCTGGAACATTTAACAACACTTTTCACTTTCAGTGATGAACTGGGACAAAGTAACTGAAACAAAATATATACCAACTTGGCATTTCAAAAAATTAAGTGACATTTAACGTGTTCGATTTACTCTGTAACTTCTGCTTCTTTTACTTCACGTTTTATTGTGTTATGCTTTATTAATGTTAGATAATGTTTTGTAAGATGTTTGCAGTAGAAAAAGGAAGGAATGCTTATTTTAATAAATATGTTTTTTTTTCCACATATTTTGAAGGAGAAAAATGATGCATCCAGTAAATGAGTCAGAGTATGATTAAAACAATGAATCCATCAAGTAAGAGATCTCTCATAAACATTCGTAATAGAATTTAATTCCAGGCACATATGCATGAAGGGGAGTACAAATTTATGTGCATGTCCACTCGTTAGTGAATAATTTGTTCATATTTTAAAGAAATAGAAGATCAGCTGTTGTTTTTTCCTTTTATTTCAGCAATTTGTTTGAAACCTACAGATAATACAAGCTAATTTTTTATTCTTTACCCACTCTTCATTTTGCTTAGCATCCAGCCTGTTGATGAATTCTAGAAGAATTTGAAACTTTTTTTTTTTTACTATTCTCTGATTATTTGATTCTAATACAATTATGTTGAATTTTTTTTTTTCAAATCAATGCATGGCTTCTTCAGAAACTCTAGCTGCTTCCTAAAAAAATATGAAATTTTAAATTAATTCGAGCAAAGTCTGTTCATACACTAATTAGACTAGAAAAAATGTAAGCGAAAGAGATGAGGCTATTCCTAACAAGCCAACCCCCATCTTTTCATTCCCCAAATTTCAAGTTCTTGTGTTAAGTTGCAATGCTCGCGTTTCTTTTAATGCAAGCACCACTCTTGAGACAGTGGGAACTTTACAGTACATGAGAGCATGTAGTTTACAGTACATGAGAGCATGTTTATTACACAAGTATAAAAGCCAAATAAGACCACATTGGAATTCCAGTAAAGTTTCCTTTATGTGTATCTCAGGGTTAAAATGAGGGTTCCTTGGTCCTCTCTGTTGTTTTCTTAGTTGTTTTCTTGTAGATGTTTCATTACCAACAAAGGTAACATAATCAGTGCTAGATGTTACCTAGTTTGGGTAACGAAACACCTATAAGAAAACGAGCATGCTCAGAGAGCACCAAGGACCTCCTCGCTAGAAATCACACTCTGGGCAAGGATCTGCATCAAGCTGAGAGTACCACATATATACAGTGCTTGCTATATTAAGAAATATATATATATTAGGAATATCCTCTTAAAAAAATCAAATCGCATTCATTTTTAAAAAGCTACTATTGAAATGTCATTGCATTATTTGAAATAATGTTCCTTCAGAGTTATTAATGTTAAATATTGGTCATCCAGAAAGAGGCTGCAGTTGTCAACCTAGCGATATCTTGAGCAAATGTTCTGAAAGAATAAAAGGCAAAACGAAGCTTGCCTCACACTGAAGGGCAGATTCGCCTGGGAAAGAAAGCGTTTTCACAGCATCCATTCTCATCACACCAATCCCTAGTAAGGGGCTCATGAACTACAAGCCATTTCCAAGTAGGAGCAGAAACAGAGAGTATCTTCCCCACACTCCCATGCATTTTATCACCATCATCATATGGGTAAAGCTCAAAAGGCCTGATTTTCCTCAGCAGTACCGTTCATTAAGACGTATC